CCCATGAAAGCCCCAGGAGGATGAGGGGAACAAACCTAAACTCAGATCTGCAACTGCTGGCCCTCCCTGTCCCGCCCACAGGGGTGTTTTATTTGGCTCACAAAACCAAACCAAACAAAAGAACCTTTGTGGCTCAAGCTGTTCACTACAACTCCTGAGATGGCCGATGACGGCTGCTCTCCTCTAGCCGTCCTGCTGGCCCTGGTTCTGAGTGTTTGCCCTGTGACCTGTCACAACGCTTACAGGGGAAAGGGACGGAGACAGGAGTCATGGCAGCTGGGCCCAAGGCTTACTGCCCTCCTCACTGGGGAGTCAACCAATCTGGATGGAAAATATTCGTACAAAACACAACAAAAAACAGGAGATGGGGTCGAGGCTCAGCGGTAGAGCACGCGTCTCACATGTGTGAGGTCCTGGGTTCGATCCTCAGCACCACATAAAAATAAATAAATAAAATAAAGGTATTGTGTCTAATTACCACTAAAAAATAGAATATAAAAATAACAAACAATAACAATCAACAACAACAAAAGTCCTGCGTCTGTACTGAATGTGAACAGACTTTTTTCTCATTTTCATTCCCAGATCAATACACTTTAACAACTATTTGAATGACATTAAGTATTATAAGCAATTTATAGATGCTTACACGGGAGGACGTGTAGGATGTATAAAAATATTGTGCCACTTTATGTAAGGGACTTGAGCACGCATGGATTTTGGTATCCTTGGGGGGTCTTGGAACCACTCCCCCGCAGGTGTCAAGGGACAACTGTACTCTGTCTGAACATGGAAACTCAGGTCTACAAATGTCACATGAAATAGTCCTCCCGATAAGCCATCAAAGTTAAGCAGGACACCATGAGGCAAAAGGGAAATGTCTCCAGTGCTGACTTACCTCTCCCAGGATGTTTACTTTAAATAAGTGACAAGTGCAGTCCATTTGGTTTAAATACCCAGCTACCAGACCACTCAAGTGTACAGATGATGAAGTAACTGGCAGAATTATTAAGGTTTCTTTGTTTTTCATGTGACTATTTTATACAAGTCAAAGGAATCTGCCGACAGTGGCGCAGCCTGGGTCGTGCTTGTTACTAATACGACTGCCAATTAATCCTGACATGGGTGCCCGGCGGGTTCCCCCAACCTGGTATTTTACCACCTCGGGGGGTCAGCACTTGGACATTTCCATGACATTTTATACTAATCAATCAACGTTCCTTTTTTCTTAAGGCAGAGCCTTTCATAGGAGTCAGACGAGCCATACCCAGGGCCACCCAGAGCTGCCTTAGATGTGCTGATAATAACGCATCGAGGCAGACTTCTGAAAATGTTTATTCTTATTTCTTCCCTTCTAAGGGTGAAATCTATCTCAAATGTTAAGACAGATATTCCAGGCCCCGAGAGTTTTCTCATATTATTGTATATTTTAAAACATTACAAGAGGGCGCCTCTCACGGGAAGTGAACTTTCGAGTTGCCAAAGATGCTCAACTGTCTTCAAATCTGTTAGCAACGGAGCCCGGGCTGGTCTCAGGCAGTCTATTTTGAGTCATGACATAGGTGGCTGTGACATACGCCATTCTAAGATATTTCTAGGACCTCCTGGAACATGGTAAGTCATTGGAAGACAGCAGGGCAGGCAGAGGAAGAGCCCCATGAGGCTCCTGGGAGCCCCGGGCTGGGCAAGAGCCCTAAATCAGCCACAGGACCATATTCTTGGGGTGAAGACCCTTCACACTCACCACTCTCATCCCCATGTACCCTGCTCCAATTCTCTGGCCTCAAATGATCCTTTTACATTCTTCGTATAAGTCACCCTACAAAAGGCCATCCAGCTACAAAACGTTTTTCTGGCAAATTTTCAGTCCTCCCTCCCAGACCAGAGGCATGAAGGAACCCGGAGTAAAGTGAGTTGGCATTGTCGTTGGCCCTGTGGCTGACCTTCAGGAAGAACCAGGGCACAGCTCTCTCGGGTCCAGCTTCCCCCTCCCTCCTTTTCTATTCTCCGCTCCTTGCTTTCTGTTTCTAACTCAAAGACAAGAGTCTTGGTTGTCCAAAGAGTCATAGAATAAGATAAAAGCACACTGGCCCTGGGACCATCCCATCAAAGAAATACTGGGATTTTGCTAAGCCACTAGCTTTTCTCTACCTTGATCGCCCCATCTGTAAAAGGGAAAGATGCCTGCCACACTGGACTTTGGGGCCGCTGTAAGGAGTAAAGAGGAAAAAGCACTCAAAATGTTAGAAGAATAAAATACACGACCTACCTGTGCTCTCACCAGTGTTCCCTGCACGCTTCAACACCCCATCCCTGAGCAGAGCACAGTATCCCAGCCAACTTGGTAGAGGGACTGTATGGCCAGATGACTCGGGATCAGGCATCCCATGGGACATTTTCAAAGGGCCATTCTGGAGTGTTCACCCTGCCTCAGTTAATCCTCTGGATTCTAGCAGCTGGCCACCCTCCTGCTCTGCAGACAGGAAGCTGAGGCCTGGGGAGGCTGGCACACTTGCTGGCCTGACATGAGCTTGGCTACAAAGCCCATGTCTCAGGAGTCAAGGTAAGGACCTGCAGGAGCCTGGAGACCTCCCTGGGAGCCAGATGCTGCTTGGCCCATATGTATCACAGGGAAGAGAGGTGCAGCTGCCCTGACTCCTGTCCAGTCCTACTCCTCCGTGCCCCCTCTGCCAAGAAGTTGAATGGCAGTCCTGGGATAAACACCAGGATTCAATTTTACTTTTTGGTCCTCTATTTATGAAACAGAGTTCCTATCACTAACACAGGAAATAGAAAGGCACGGTTTCTTGGGAATAGAGCTCATGTGTTCCTCAATGTTGTCAGGGTAACCTGCCGTGGTACACACAGTCCTCTGGCAGGAAGGGGTGGCTGGGTAGATCTGTGTTGGAAGCAAAGCATGGGCTTGCATGTGTGGCCAAGGAGAGCCCTGTGCCATGGGAGTGCAAGTGACGGGGATAGACAGGGGCTGAGGACACATCCTGTGGCTGAGAGACTCTTCTCTGCTGATGGGAAGAAACAAGAATTTCAGGAAGTTTCCAATAGTGACTAATCCAAGATGTTCTCTGTTAACCTAGTCTGACCTTTCAAAAATCTGGACAAGATGTGTCACACCTACTATTCCGAGTTCAATGGGGAATGACTTTTTGTTCAAGTTTTTGCACACTCATCTCCATGTAGCTTCCAAAGCACAGAGGGACTTAATCAGCAGGCTGGAGGTGGCCTCTGCTGTCTCCCCTGTACACCTAGAAATGTGCAGAAAAATGCTGGCTTTCCTGCAGCTGAAACTTGCCTTTCTTACTGGTCAGAAACTATCCCTAGCCCAACTGTTGTCACTTTATGATCCCAAGGTCCTATTCTTCATCTGGACACTTCTCTACCGACACCAGAATCTGAGCAGGCCCAAAGAGAATGAAGGATGACCTGCGAGGAAGCAGGCACAGAGCCCTGCCAGCTCTGAACAGATCTTGCTCCCTGCCTGATCCTAGAGTCACTTCTAGCTCGCTGGGCAGAAGTCACTTCCCTTCTCTGAAACTCAGGTTCCTGTTGCAGGATGGAGCAGTTTAGATGTCACAGGATTATTCCCCAAGCCACCTCCTAGCTCTGGTGTTCTGTGCATAGTGCTTTGGAGATGAAAAGGGCTCAGAAAATGCCTTAGAAATCTGAAGAGCTTCAGGTGGACCCAGGGCTGGGTGGTCCCCCGTCTGCCTTCTCCCGGGTTTTTGTGCGAGTGTCTCTGAGACTGTGTGTTGGGACAGGGATCTAGGAGAACCGAGGACAGAGACAAAGCTCAGATGAAGGGCATGAAGGAAGAAGAAGTGAGGAGAAACCAAAAGGAGTAGAACATCATTCTCGACACTTTCTAGGGAACAAGGAGGCTGTGGGGCAAGATGGGATGGGGCAAAAGGGGGCTTCTGGCGAGAATGCAGTGGGGAAGGTGGGGATGGGGAGTGTACTTCAGGGACTGTGTGAGGTGACAGCACAGTGCTTCACACACAGGCTATGAAAATGTCCTTATCCTCAGCAAGGCAGGCAGCAGTCACCATGTGGTCACCCCTAACCAAAAAATACTAAAGGTCCAACCATGAAAAGAATGGATGCCCAGCTCGGCTTCCGTGGCCCACTAGCTCTGCAGACTTGAACAGAAGTGTCCCTTTTCTGGTGGTGTAAGCCCTTGTCCTCCAATGAAAGAACCAGGCTACAGACTCCTAGTAAGAGTGCTTCTCCCACAGCCTCCAGGGGGATGATCCTAAGAGGTGAGGTATGTGAGATTCCTTTGTGGACACACAAATAACTAATGTCTTGCCAAACAGTTGAATGAATTAGGAACAATCAATAAAAGGCAGAATAAACCCTCTGCTTCTGACTACAGGTAGTTGTGGGTCTGCCCTTGTAGACCCAAAGAAGTTGCTAGGCCCTTCTGCACATGCAGGGTTTTGCAGGGCAGTACGTGGTTCCTCTTGCTGTTGAAGAACATTTGCTTTTGCTTCCTGAAGAAGCAGCCCATCCAGGACTCCACACTTGACCAGTGACACTGTCTCTGGCTAACTTTCAGAGACAGTCGCGCACCACATGTGATATGGAAATGCCCTCGATGGTGACAAACCCCAGAGTGCCTTTCATCTCAGTGTGCCGCTGCTCTATAGAGAACACAGAATCAGCATCATAAACAAAGTCAACCTAACTCCTTCACCAGCCTAACAAAACTTTAGGGACGCATCTGTACAGACCTCTCATTGTATAGGGCCAGATACAAAAGCCTTGAACAAAGCCACATACCCAGTAAATGCAGAGTCAGTCCCATGATCCATCTTTCTCTGTATGAGGTGTCATTATCTCTACGTTTAAAAACTCAATTTCAAGATTCACTTCTCAGGCAGCATTTGCCATCTCTTTTGTGCATTTTAGAAAATGAATCCATATGCCACCCTCCCCCCCTCCCAGAAGTGAATGCCAATAGGTATTCCAGAAGCAGTTCTCACCTGCAAATTTGCACAAGGCGGTAAAACATGCGTAGGGATTTCGTTCTCAGAGCCTGCTGGCCCCAGGGGCTTGTTCTTGACCCGATAGGCAGTGGTAGTGGTGGCAGTGGTGGTCTGTACTGGGAGGGCTGGCTGCCACACAGTCACATCGGAGCCATTGCCAAAGGCTTGAATTGCATTTTCTGCAGTAAAACAGGAGGAAATCCAATTTCAAAGTCAAGCAGCAAATGTAACAGGATACACACAGCCAGAGAAGCACACTAGAAATTCTGATTACGGCATTGAACTTCTCTGAACAAAACCCATCCATCCATCCACCCCATATGTACTAAGAGCCAGTCTTTGGGGTCAGGTGCTCAAAAATCAATTCAGCCATTAAACACTGAGTTGGACACTTAGCCACACTCCATGCGCAACAAATATTTATTGTGTTTCTATTTATGTGCCAGGTGCTGAGCAAGAGCTTTGCCCTGAAATACTCATCCCTCAAGCCCTTTGAAACCCAGACTCGGACCTGATACATTGGATCCTAACTGCCATTTTTTTTTCCAAGAAAGTCCTTACACTTTGTCAAAATTCTATACTAAAAGCAAATTAATTAGTGCCTTTTTCTTTTAAGTACATTCCTAATCATGAGACTGAGGCAACTCAGAGGCAATTCAACTAATTTGGCAGGCAAAACGCAGCCAGTTTCTTTAAAAGAAAAATCTACCCCAAGCCTCATCAATATCTAGTGAAAATTTAAGTAAGATTATTTTTTTCCTTTCTGCTCCCAGTCTTCCAAACAAAATCTGCATAATTAGATAGGAGCAGCCCTGTTTAAATGAAAAGTTTAAAATGTAAAACTTTAAAAGCCTATTACAATTTCATGGGATTAGATTGTTTTTATGGCAAGAGTAAATTGGTTATGTGTTTTTCCCTCCCCAAGATGAATAAAAAACAGTTTTTAATCAGGTCTCCAGGGATTTGGCCTGGATTTAGGAATTTTTTTTTTAAATTTCATATTCATTGTATAAGAAATCAAACTCCTTCATTTGGGACCTGAATGTGCAAATTTTTAATCTACAACTCTTAGTTGGCATTTTTCTATACACAAGACAGAATAATTCAGGCCTAATCTTTCTCTTAGAAGTGACATTTTGTTTTAGAATTGTTATCCTTTAAGTTTGGCAAATTGGAAGCTTGTTTCCTACAACCTGACACTTTGGAAGGCTGTAAGAAACAGCTTCAAATTAATGTGTTTTTTTTTATGCTTCCAGCTATGCTATGGCTGAACGGGGGCACAGAACTTTGAGAAAGGGGTATGTAAGGACCAGTTTCCTTAAATGACCCCAGAACCACAACAAAAACCTATTTCTTGTTAAGATGCAAAGATTCAAGAGACTCCTGACCCATACTGAAGCTGCCTGTGCTTGGCCCAGCGTGCCTGCCCCCCGTCCCCCACCATGTCCCCATGTCGTGCTTGGCCCAGGGTGCCTGCCCTCCCTGCTCATTCATTCACCCAATGTTACTGGAATGTCTGTCAAGTGCCAGGCCGGGCTCCACGTGCGAGGCACATGGCCGTGAACAGCAGGAACAAAAGGTAGGAGTCCTCCCCCGACTGAATTTCTGGCTGTAAACCAGAAATACAGCAATAGAGTCAAGTTTGTAACAGAGATGGTGAGAAGGGCTTGGAGAAAACGTGAGTGAGGGGTGGGGGAGTGAGGAGCGCTGGGGTGAGAGGGAAGTGGATATTTAAAGTAGTCCAGGGAGGCCTCCCAGAGAGGAAAGGAGGAGGAGGGAGGAGAGGAGGAGGAGGAGAAGAGGAAGTGGGAGGAGCAGGAGCAGGAGAGGTGGGGGAGAAGGATGTCTGAATAAAGTCTGGAGAGACCACCTGCCTCCCATTCTCCTCTCTTCCCCTTCCATGGGCCATGCACTTGACTTAAAAATAACTGTTTCCTTCTCCCAAACTAGAAGTAAACAATGGGTTGCAGTTGTGTTCCTGGCTGGGGAATTTGGGGAGAGGTTTTGCTTAATCTGAAGATAGCAGAATTGGGTTTCTTCTTAAGGGTCACAATTGATAAATTTTAATTCCTTCTGGTTTAGGGCCTTATACAAAGACTGAATTCACAGTTCTCTGTCTTTGGTGCTCTGTGGCCCATCTAATCCAAGTATAAATGGAATGACTGAAAGATTCTGGCTGGCTTTGGCCCTCCTCGCTGCAGACCAAATGCATTTATTTTTATTGAAAAGTCATCAGCAATAAGATACCAGACTAGTCTACCTTTCACCAAAATGTTATTAAGCAGGGACAACTTTAATTTCTTTGTGGGGGAAAAGTTTTCCAGCCAGTGTGAATAAAATCTTTTCTCATGATGACTCTTGTCATTCCTTTGTCTTCCTTACACCTCACATCCACCAGAAGAGAGCAAGATGAGAGAGAGGCCTCCACGCTGGAACCGGATGCTGTGGGTCTGAATGTCACTGAAGAATCCAAAAGCTTCTCTTATTTTCAAAAGGACCAGATAAACTGATTCCAGCCACATTATTTGAACTACATTTTTGTGTGCGGGTGACTTATGCTTTTCTCTTCAATAAAGGAAAGGAGGAGGAGGATGTTTTAGATCAATGCTCAAAAGCTGTTTTGTAGTACATGGTAAATTGTTGGCTAATTCTTAAAAAAAATCAGTCAAAATATAGCAGAGCATCATCGGGAAATTGTCCCTCTAGGACAAGGCTCTCAGCTGGATGTCTGAGCCTTGATTCCTAGAAATCTGACCCACCCCTCCCAGTAGGAAGACAGACCTGGACCCAAATGTACAGGGTTATGTTCTTGTCCAACAGTGCATGAACAAGGTTCTCAGGAGATAGGGGGCTGCACAAGAAACCAGGCCTTGGGTCCCAACTCTGTCACAGATGGTCTATGTGAATGCCAGGCTTTTACTCAGATGAAAGATGGATGGACAGATATAATAATTCCTACGCCTCCTAGGATACTTGCGCAGAGTACAGAAAATGAGAGTGTGCATGAATTATACTCCCTGTAGCATTAATCTGAACACACAGAATGAATAAACAGTGGCTGTCACAAGAGTGAGTGCAATTTTCAAATATCTCAGCTGGATCATCACCCAGGGTGACTTAGGTGTACATAAGGGAGACCAGGGACTGTGCTTTTGGAGTTTGATGGATGCCCATGGTTCATATTCATTTCTCCATCCCTGTCCCTGTGGAGGACAAGCTTCCAAATTGCCTAAAGGACACTGCAATAATAACCAACTCTGCTTCCCAGCAGGAACCCCGCCCCTCCACCCACCAGCGCTTATCTGGTCTCCTGAGATCCCCGACATCGCTAGTCTCCTGAGCGTATCGCCAGCTTTCCCCACTCAAGATCTGCTGCTTCTCCTCTGAGCCAACCCTGAAAATCCGAGGGGCTATCGATGTCAACATTCTAATTTTTCCCAGAGAGTCCTTGGAGGCCTATCTCCATCCAATTTGTCTGAGCTTCTCACATTGTCTATTCCGCCCAGGTTTTCAGAACCTTGGGAACGGACTCTCAGCTGGCTGCCAAGATCAAAATTTGATCTGCGGGTAGAAGCGTTCTTTCCCACATAATGTACTCTCGGTGATTGCAATCTCTTGATCTCTCGGGTTTTTGGATCCACAGTCTTGGCAGCACCCACTTCATCATCTACACGGTTCCCTGCTGCATGCATCATGCAGCATGTTCAAAAGGAGCTGGATTTACCATCAGCGACCAAGAAAAGGGACAGAGAGAGGGAGAGGGATGGACGGTGGTAGCAGACACAAGAAATAGAAGGTACAGCTCAAGCCTGGAGTGGGAAGAACGTGTGTGTGTTCACGTGCTTCTTATTTAAAACCAAAAAAAGCAAAAAAAAAAAAAACCCCCCCCCCCCACACACAAAAACAACAACTCACTAAGACAGGTATTGTCCTTGAAGAAGTTCAGAAATTTGGAGCACTCTTCCAGGTCATTCCCGCTGTTGCTGCAGTCACACCAGGGGGCCACGCTAAGGCTACTGGAGTCTATGTAGTTGGGGGTCATGACTGTGCCTGAAAAAGTAAAAAAACAAGACATGTCATTTTCCTGTGATGATGTGGACTTTTCTGGAATTGAAAAAGAAGTAAACGCTCCTCTGACAGAGAATGTGCCATGGATAATTACAAACACGGTGTTTGCTGAGTGGGAAATTATGTTAAGCAGTGAATTTTCTTGGCAATTTATTGTGAACACGTAAAATAGTTTACACATTTACTTAAAAAATTATAACAGAACTCCTTCAGCTGCATTTAGGGTATTTTTTTTTCTCTCTGCACAAATGGTATGGATGTTGTGGAGTTGCAGAGAATTAACTTGGAGTGCACGAGTTGCCAAATCCCCTGCGTTTTCTTGAAAATGTCATTAATCTTCATAAATAGATAGCACTTGGTGTGCGTATCTTAAAGATCCTTTTAGGGCTTTGAATCCACTTCCCTCAGAAGCAAATGGCTTCTGCAGAGTAACCCACAGGAGCTCAGAAGCCTCCAGCAGGCTCTGCTGCATCCCGGATGAACACAAATGTAGGTAGCAAGCCTCCCGCTCGCCAGATTCTCCACTGACTTACAGTCTTCCAAGTTGTGAAAGAATTGGAAACAAACAGTGTACATTCTCTGAGCCCAGGGCTCCCAGAGTATTGTCTAATGTAAGAGAAATGCTGGGTGGTCCCTCCTGCTACATCTTGTGGGATTCACAACTTTCTGGTGAGGTTTCCATCAGCACAAATACACAATGCATTTGTATTTAATACAACCCAAATGTCTTCCCCTGGGTGGCTCACACCAGGCAATGCCCGCAGAGGCCAAGATGCTTTCTGCTTTTAGTTATTTTCAAGGAAGTACGAAGTCATAGGTGGTCAGTCATCCTCAGGATGGATCTGGTTCACAAACAGAAAAACAATTTTTAAAGCTCCTTGCGGTCAAGGGCATATTGTCTTGGCCCTGCATTCCTTGCTGACTCAGATTCAGTAAGACCCATGGTCCCTTAGCAGGAGGACTTAGCCTATAGCATGAAAGGGGTTCTAACTCCTCTGAGAAAACCACAGGCAACCCACATGCTGAGTGAGGGGGTTAAGGTCATTGCATGTCTGGGGTCCTAGTGGACCCGTGACTCATGGAGAAGCAGGAACAAGCTTTGGGTGGAAAGAGATTAGGATCCAATGTCCCAGAAACCCGCGTGGAAGGAGACATCCAGACCCGACAGAGAAATAATTTGGTCTGTAGAACACACTGCCTCTACCACTTGCTCCTCCATTTCATCCTCCTCAGGCTTGCATGGGGTTGCCAGGCCCAAGGATGATCTCACAGAGGTGTTGGCAGCACCCAGTCTCGGCCACTTGTGGCAGTCAATGAGCGTGTCCTCCTGGAAGGACACAAACTGATGTGTTAACAGCAATCTCATCTGGGAGAGAGGCTGTGGAATTTCCCATTGTATTCTGTTGGCTTCTCTGGTTTTGGTTTTCTTATAAATTTTTTCTTTAACAAATGAGTATATGTTAATTACTTGGTGTATTTTCTCTTCTTATTTGTATAATTCCATATTTGGTAAGTAATCTCTCGTAGAGACTAACTTTATTAAGAGAAAGGAGAAAGTGAATCCAAGCTGGAGTACTGGCTTAAGGAAGGCCGGACCAAGAACAATGTGCCTAATTGGCGAAGTAACGCCAAGGGAGTGTGGGTCCCCTTCAAAAGGTTGGGGTGACCAATGTGCCCAAAAGCAAGACATCTTACATTCAATTCCAACCCTGATTCTCCCAAACTCTCCTGCCAAAGACAATACTGACAAGGGGTTTGGTCTGTGCTCTCATTCTGGGTGGGAGGTTCTTCTTGCTGGTGACGCATGTGACCCTGACACAGATGCCGGGCAGGAACACACACCCTGGCTGAGCCATCGCGCTCTGACAACTGTGATTTCTCTCACCCTTCCCGGCCTTCACTATGTGTTCCTTCTCAAATGCCAGGCACAGCGGAGCCCTGACACCGAGGCTTCTGCTGTCCCTGGGGCCTGGGACTCTGGCCTTTCCTCTTGCTGGCCCCATTTATCCTGGGGCACAAGTTTGCCCATTTCTCTTCCAACACCCGCTGCCTTATTTAATTGCACTGTTCTCTTCGATGCTGGGAGAACATAGTCCTCCTAAAGCCTTTGGTCTTAAAAGACAGAGAGTACTGCTTATGCCATGAATAGTGTCATCAAGGGGGAAATATTGGCCTCAACGATGCCCCGCACACCAGGAGCTGAACACCAAGAACACTGATGGCAAGAAGCACCCCGATATTTAGGGATTTTATTTCCAATGGGCCATTTCTGAGAGACAGCTTTCCCGATTTTCCCATATGGACTGGCTGCCTATTCCTTCTCTCCAGAGCTCCCTGGCTCTGTGGACTCTGTTGGCCTTGCCCTCCTCTCCCCAGCCAGGCTTTCCTCTGACTGTTTGTCCTGCGTGGTCACTTCCCCAATCGAGTCACTTCCCTTGCCTTTGTGCTTGGTGAGTCCCAAAGGCCTGTTGTCAGAACCCAGCACAGAGGGCTCCTGGGAGATTTTCACCCACACAGACACCATCAGGCTACAGTGGAAAGGGTGTGGGTATTGTGGAGCCAGCTCTCCTCCCATGCCTCCCCCGCCCCTCTTACCAATCAGCCCCGAGTAGGCCAGGAGGCAATCGGCGAAGTTCTCCTTCAGACAGCTGCTGACAGACCTTGACTCCGGCTGGCAGTTGGTAAAAAAGTCTGCAAGGCGAGATCTACAATAGACAGAAATGCAAAAATGTGCTTTTAAACATCCTAAGTCCCTGGGCTGGGAAGGGGTATTGCAGAGAGGGTGGTTAACGGGAGGGGGGAGGAAAAATAGTTGCTAATGTTTTAGCACAGGAGTATGACAATGGTTGACCACAACTGATTGTGTATTTCAAAATAGCTAGTCCTAGAGAGGGTTTTAAACATTCTTCACACAAAGCAATAATACATGTTTGAGGTGATAGATGTGTCCACTAATCTGGTCTGATCATTACACATTGGATACATTTATTGAAATATCACACTGAATCCCATAAATATGTACAATATGTATCAATTACAATATGTGTCAATTACATGAAAAAATACATATATTAAGGGGCTTGGGCGGTAGCTCAGCGGTACACTGCTTGCCTAGCATGTGTGAGGCACTGGGTTCCATCCCTAGAATGGTAAAAAATAATATAGGTGTGTGTGTATGTATATATGTATACATATATATACACATGCATAATATGTTAACATATATAATATATATATTGAGAAAGATTCCTACACACATGTGTATCTATGTATATGTGTATGTGTATGTATATATGAACAATCCTAAGACTAATTTAATAATTCTCCTTGATTCCTTTGTTGAGAAGCCTCTCTCTACACACACACACACACACACACACACAGAGAAAACACGAACTATTAAAACACTGGCATCTTTTCTACACAACTTCCCTCCCCTCCCCCAACCCTCATCCACCTGTGTGTATCTGCTTATTTGGAGAGAAGTCTTCAGGGCCTATAACTGGAGAATCCAGAGGCTTTGAAGTTTCCATTCAATATTTATTTCTGACTAGACTTATTTGCATCTTTAGGAAATGTGCTTCTCTACACACTCACCGGAGATCCACAGTGGGAAAATATTTACTTTATACAGAAACATGTTCCTGGCATCAAAATAGGATCCTACAGCCCATCTGCTCCCATAATTCCTCCTGGCTTCAAGAATGCATGTCTCTGTCTCGTAAGTCCTCCCTGGGCCCAGGGCATAGTGATTTATCCCGGCCCAGTGGCACCGAGAAGCTCGCCTTGGGGAACTGAAGTGAAGGACAAGAGGGCAGTGAGGCTCGCTGGGGTGTTTGGAGGCTGTGTCTGCACTTTGGGAACTGTCCAGGGGCTGGCGCAGTCCACTGGAAGCCCTGGGTGGCAGGGAAGTTGCAGGGTTCCAGAAGTGGAGAGAAGTCACGGACCCACGAGCCTGGGGAGGAAGAGGGCTCTTTTTGGCCAGTTGGCCATGTCTCAGTCTGAAGAGGGTATTGTTGGAGAAATCCTGAATGAGAACTGGGCCACCTCTGAGGTCATCTCAGCAGACAGCAGTTCTGTTTCTATGGGAGGACACAATGGACTTTAGGAGAATTTAAATTACCTGGCAATTACGGGAGACAATGGGAGGCTGTCTGGGTTTTCTTGTCTTCAGCTCACCGAGCTGGCTACCCACATACCGTGCTGTTTTTACTATTTTCCACCCAAGAAGCCCCATCTGCCCGGCATACTCAGACTCTATGATACCAAAACGCTTGGGTTGGTGGGGCTCAGCAGGGCAGGGTGTATGGAGAATCATAAGGGTTTGCACAGACCTGTAGGAAGCATATTTATGCCCCTTTTCTACAATCTCACCTAAAAGTGGTACTCAAAGGCCTGAGGACTGGTCCAAGCTCACAGAACACACAGTGAAGGCTGGGAAGGGTGAACCCATGGTGTTCCTGTAGTTCTCTTTTGCAAGAGACCTTATCTGCACCAATCTGGGGAGCTCTGTGTGGTTCTGGGTACCTAGCCCATCACAGTGAGTCCCTGCGGCAGGTTCTAGAGGCCTGCTTCATTTTCTTTGCATGGTGGCTGACACTTCTTAGGCCTTTTATAAAGATTCCTGATCAGGGCCATGCGCTGAAGCTAAGTGGCTTGGCAAAATCCTCCCAATGAGGCTCACCTGTGAGCGGAGGGTTTGCCTGGATCTTAACCACAGCCTGCCTTGCTGGTGTTTTCTGCCTTTAACTGAACACACTGAAGGATACAAAACCTGGCTATTTTCTTTTGCCTGGTTAAAGGATTTGTTTTTCAGAGGAAATCCCTAAAGATGGCTCAGGCTTACTCAGCTGGCTCCAATGGCATCCAGCTTGGATTGAGTATTAATTTCAGAAGAATTTTTCTGGTCATGAAAGTTAATGATCTAGGGGTGTTGGGCTCCTAACACTGCAAAGGCCAATGCAGTCCAGGCAGCTGGGGCTCCAGTTCTGCACACAAGCTGGCCACTGAATAGCTCTCTGACCCGGCAGCCCCTCGTTCCTGGTCTGTCCCTTGGAGACACAGTTCCTGTTTCTCAGAGTCTCTCAAGCAGACTATTAAACGAACAACAGTGTGATGCGGATTACTGTCCTTGGGCGCAGGGCTAATGCCACCAGACTCATTTGGTTTAACAACCTCAGAATTGACTCACAATTGGACTCCAGAATGAAAGGCTAATTGAGTCAGTCTGTTGCAGAAAGCAGAGGCCCAACGGGGAGGATACCGTGAAATACAGAGCTCTGAGCAGAACCCCAGACGGCTGCATTTTAGGAGGAGAGGGCAGGCATGGATCCCAACTGCAAGGATACAGCCATCGAATGGGAAGAGGGAGGGAGGGAGCTCTGCTAGGATACCCACCCTTGCAGGATTCTAGCACATTTGGCCTGCCTCCCCGGGTATTTACACTTGGAGACATGGTGATCGCATTATGGGATTCCCATTTTACAGGAGGAAAAACTGAAGTAAGACGCTTGCATGGTGGTGTGCTGGAGCCAGCTCATGACTGGCTAGTGGGTCAATTTTGAAAAATTTTGCAAGTTGGTTGACATCACAGTGGGGCTTGCAAGTACCATGGCTGGCGTGATTTTTACACAGTGGCAATCAGGAAATGCTCCAAAGCAGGGATTTGTGGCGTTCTCTGGGAACACATTGTTAACTGTCAACTGGCACAATCCTGTTGAAGAGCCCCGCGTGACATAGTCAATCCTGTGAGTAAAGCATGTGTCAGGTGTCGGGTGTTGAGTCCCAGCCCTTCTGGGACAGGTTTCTCCTATTGCCATGGTGCTGAATGAAAGGGTGTGGTACAGTGAGCATCCAGACTTTGGTGCTTTCCAAAGAACAAAAACAGTGACCCCAGCCCCCAGGGTTCTTCTGTCCCAGCACCTCCCCCACCAGTCCTCCTACAGTAAGTACAGTGCAAAGGGTTCCACGTTTTGACAAAGCATCTGGGTTCTCCTGTCCCAGTGACTGAATGATGTGTTAAGTGCTTGTAATATAATGATGGAAAAGGCCCTGAACCTGGATTTAAATAACCAGCAGGCCAGGTGCCAACAGAAACAAGAACAGGATTAAAATAGTACAGTGGCTAGTTCCTGATAAAAGGTAAGGAAGGCTGCTAATATAAAGAAGACCAAATAAGAGGGAAGAATTCAGTAGCTGTTAGGTAGCTTTTATAAACCTTATATTTCTTTCCTGACAATCTAATGAGGTGCAGTACTATTATTTTATTATCCTAATTGTACATCCAAGTAAACCAAGGCTTAGAAAGGCTAGACTAGAGGAAAACAAAGGAGTAGATCGAGGATTTAGAGCCCCACATTCTGACTCCACCACTTAAGCTCCCAACGCTCCACAGCTACAGAAGGTGATTTCAGAAAGGCTGTGATCTGGGGACTAAGCCAGGAAAGATGGAGAGGATTTGTCAGGCAAAGGTGGAGGAGGGTGCTGCAGGCAGAAGGAAGTATCTTAGGATAAAGTAATCATCTAAAATAATCCCAGGTCACAATAATGGAGTGTCTGTGTGTGCCAGGCACAGCCTGAAGTTTCTGACCTGTATGCACACATCCAGCCCTCATGACACCCTTGTTAGGTGATGTTATCCGCCCCATTGTACAGATGAGAAAACTGAGGCCCAAAAAGAGTAAGTGACTGTCTCCAGGTTGTAGAGCTTGGCAGGGGAGCTGGAATGTGGCCACGTTCCATCTGACTCAAGTTGGAGGTCATTCTTCACCACTACACTCACCACGTGCCTCATCAAAAGTCCTGCTAGTCATTCCCCAAGGATGGCCAGGGCAAGGGATGCAAATGAAGACTGATGGGAGATGATGCCCAGCAAATCCTTGAATGACCTAAGAGTTTCGATTTTGTCCCAAAGGCAGTGGGAGCCACTGAAGGATTTAGAACCCAGAAGTAGCATGATCAGATTTGCATACTAGGAAGACTTGGATCTCTGGATTATTCAGCAAAGACTTGATAAGGACCTGCTCTGTGCCTTCACTGCTGGAGCAGCGAGGGGACAGCAGGAAATGGCGGGAGGCAGGAGGACAGTATCCTAGGAGACTATAGTCAGGAACCAGAGCAAAGCATGGAGGGCCAGAGGGAAGGAAGACAGGAGGATGTGTCAAATGGAGGGATCTGCAGATGGGGCTGCAGGAAGGAGCTGGCGGAGAACCAGGTTGTGTACAACTCAGCAGACAGGATTGTTGTGGCAGAAATATGGAGGATGAGTTTGCAGGGAAGATGGCGGGGCTGGTTGAGGTTGTGTGGAGTGCATGGCACCCTGGGGACCCAGGAGTCTAAAGGGTTGTTAGAGCTCTGGCTCCTGCATCTGCCCAGTTGCCAACCACTACCTGAGCACCTACTGTATGCACAGCCCCCACAGCGCAGGCCAGGCCCTCAGGCACTCACTCCCCCCGCCCACCCTGGCTTATGAATCATGCTGTAATTGGTTTCAGTAGCTACCCTGCTTGGGCTGCCGGGATCCAAACAAGGAAGCTTAAACGTCCAGCATGGGATTAACAAAGAAACTCCACAATTGGATTTCTTCTGGAGACACGAGATCTCCATGACTACAGCAGTGATGAGCTCTGATTGTTTTTCTCTGAGAAAATGAAAAGGAAATGAATAGGCACTAATGTAGAAATGTATCACCCTCAGAAAGAGAAAA